GTTTGAGCGTATCCAAGCTTGGTGATCTTCATTACTTTGTCGTCCATGTTCCTTATATGCACTTCCTCTTCTAAACAATCCACCTTGTTGACTTCTCAGCCAATACTTTGTTCCAACTCGAACACTGCCAATTTGTTTCTCAATGTTTTTAATGCTGCTTCTTCTTTTGTCTTGTCTTTACATTATTTATTGAAAGCCATTAACTTGGCTCTGAAGGCCTGAATATCGGCTGTTTATCCTTGTTGCTTACCTCTCATTTAAAATTCCTTGATTACCTTTTTTGCCAATTACTGGATTTTCCAGGGCTACTATGTTTGGCTTCATTTGACTAAACATTTCAGTGAGTGTATCTATTGAAAACAGCTCTTCACTCTGTGCAATAATTTGAGTCTCCATCTTCTCCATAATTTCCTTCGTACATGAACCTTTCCACTGAGTTTGCTTATGCGACGAAAGGTCTATGATCTGCCTGCACCACTTCTGCTTCACCCTTGTCATTCCAAAAAACTAGACATTGATGGAGCGATGAAGGTATGCAGCAACTTTCGTGTATCCAGTCCCTTCCTAGTAACACATTGTAACTAGTAGCACCATCTATTAGGAAGAATACGTGGTCCTAGTAGTTGTCCCTATGGTAATGTCCAGTGGCATAACTCCTTTAGTCGAAGTTGTTCCTCCATTGAAACTTGTGAGGATGACTTCTGTTGGAATCATATCACTTTCTGTCTTTGCAAACTTCCTCATCATTCTAGATGGGATGGTGTTTATACCTGCTCCGTTATCAATGAGTACTTTTGCCACAGGTATACCGTTGACCCAGGCCTTCACATACAATGGCCTTAAATGCTTAGTCAATTTCATGGCTGGTCTTTTAAATATAACCTTCTCAGCAGCATCTATTTCCACTTCCTATTTGTCATCTGCTGAATCATTTCCTCGTGATAATTTAGCATGTAAAATGTCACACTAAACGTCTTCTTCTTGAATTCTCTCTTTACTATTCTCTAAAGTTTCTTCTTCAGTTACCCAACCTGTGGGAGGGGGCAATATTCTTGGAGGTGATCCATACTTTTCAGAGAGAGGTACTCTTCTTTTCCTCTTGGGCATCCCGTACATCACATAATAATCGAAAGAACGCCCAGATAGTTCACCCAACAAGTCAACTTCACGAACTCTCTCTCGATGTAGTTGCTTCAACAGAGTATTGCGCGATACTCATTTCTTTCTTCTCTCTGATTCCAAATCAATTTCCTCTTCAATATCCATCATACCATCATCCTCTTCCTCCTTGTGTAACCCTCTAGAAGTTTGGCCTTCTTCACATTCCAACACATATGCTTTTTCTTCGTTATCCTCCATTTCTTTCTCTTTGTTTTTGAACTCATTGGCTAGTAAATAGTTATTAGCCATGACAGGAGGTAATGTACCGAACTGAATAGTAAGGGGCTAATCTGGATCTTCTTCATCCCTTTTGTCTCGCTCAAACGTTGATCTCCTAAAAGAACTTTCTAGGAGTTCTTCCATTGATTCACCTGTATCAGTTTCTTCACTGTCTTCGAGAACATTTTGATTGGCCACCTTGAGTAGTTTAGAGATCTTAGGACGTGGCAATCCCTGTCATCATTCGTCCATAATTCTGTTGAAAACGCCTTTGTTGGGTTCTACTCATCTCATTGAAAGATATTACCCTTCCTACATTATACTAGAATGAATGCCATACATTTTGTTGGCGAGGTTGCGGCCTAAATGTCCTCACATTATTTATTGGCCTGAACTACCTCTCAAAAGGTGGTCCTCTATAGAATGATGTATCTCGCCCTCTAACATGCTGGGTGTTTGGGACAAAATCAGGGCATTGGTGATGTTGCTCTACTCCTGTTTTCTCTATTTTTGCACTCACTTCTCCTTTACATCTTGCACACAAAACATCTTCATCCTTTCTAGGCTCCTTCCGTTTGATACATTCAATAACGCTGGGATGTGGCCCAGGGTCTTCTTCCCCATCGTCGATAACCAATTTAAACTTGTTTTTGAAACCAGTCGTTACCATGTTCACCCCAAGTGGCTGTGGGAAAGGGTTTTCATCCACTCTCGTCTTCTTCATATTCTCGAACGTAATTCGTCCTGATTCAATAGCATCCTGTAACACATGGTAAAAAAGTAGACAATTGTTAGTCAAATGTGACCATGCATTATGCCACTTACAATATTTTTTACCCTTAATTTGTTCAGGCCTTGGCAACTTATGTTTATCGCTCAACTTTATATGCTTATCCTTATACAATTTATTAAATATAAGGTTAGCATTAGTTACATCAAACGAGAACGTCATAGCCTTTTTATTTTCATTCATCCTTGCCCGACGCTCTAGGTTTGGTCATTATAGAACAAATATATGCATCTCCTTTGATTAACTAGGCCAAATATACTTCGATTTGATCGTAATACTCGTCATTAATGATATGAATCTCAAACTCTATAATAAGTCCCCTTGCTAGAATTTTTTATTTGCTCTTCTTCTCTTATTAATCGTTCATACCTAATCACGTTTGCACCTAATTAGAAAAGATCAGGAAATTCCCTGTCTTGGCATTTCTTTTTCAAATCAAAGTTTAGACAACTTTGAGCGATTTTGACAAACTCCTTTTCGGGCAAAGGCACAAAATATTTACTTCTGGCTGTCTTGAACCTTTGAAGGAAACCTTCTGCCTATTCGTTTGGCATTGGACGTAGATTTGCCAAATCAGCCAAAGTAACTTCAGATTCGGTCTTATAAAACTGAGCATGGAACAATTGTTCCAGTTGTTGCCATGTTTGAACAGAGTTTGTTGGCAAATTGATGAACAGGAGAAAGCTACTCCTGTTGATGAATTGGGGAACAACCTCATTTTATGGTAGTCAATCACTTCACCACTTTGCAATGTGAATCGCCCTATATATTCTAGAGTAGACACTTCTCCTAGGCTAGTGAATAATGAGAATTCTGGTACCTTGTACCCTCTAGGCCATGGATATGCTTGGTCTACCCAATCGGGATACGACTTTGTGTAAGTCGGCCTAATGAAAGGATGTACCCCAAAAGCCATTTGATCCTGTACTATTTCCATAATTTGATTCCTCAACATGACGTTGGGGTCATATGGAATTCCTACAGGTTGGTTGGCTGGTTGAGTTGCCTGAGACCTAACATTTGGTCCTTGGTTGGCGACAAAGTTGCCAGTTGGGCCATTGTTACCGTTAGCCTGATCATTTATTCCATCATTAACACGCGGGGTATTCTGTACATTATTCAAGACATTTTCTCCTATATTTAAGTTACCCCCCAAGTTTGATGTACCATTACCACTATTCAGATTTTGCCACTACACCACCCCACTGGGTTGAAGTAGACGGACCAAAAGGTGGTTCTATCACTTGATTTGGACTTAGGATTGAAGAATTATGTACGACAATCGTCCTAGTTTGAAAGTGGTTTGCAATAGGCACAACTGGCTTACATATTTGGCCTACTAACTTATTCATTATTCCGTTTAGTGTATTCAATTGTTTGGCCATGTTGTCATAATGTGCATTCCCATTCTGGGTAAATCTTTCAATATTATGAACATTTCGTAGATTCACATGTTCAACGACATCCTGTGCGAGTTCTCCAAGAAATGCACGCATGGTTCAAGAACTCAACTCTGTCATTGGTTCGTAACGACTGTGACTACTTTGACTCTATCCCCCTGTTCGTAGAGAGCTTTGTTGCTCCTCATACCGTTCGATCACATATTGGACTACTCCCTGACTTGATAGTTCCTTATCGGACTTATGAGCCATATTGTTTCACCTTTTGTATCCTCAAACACCAAACACCAATTGTCCCACTGGGCGTGCCAAATTGTTTCGCGCGGGTTGTCGCTAACAATTAAAAAAGAATTTAGACGATTGTATAAGGAATGGACCTCTTGAGACAAAGTCACAAAAAGGGATGTTTTATTGGTGATGATTTACAATCGGAAATAAACAGAATGCCTCCAAGGGGTGCAAGTACACGAGTACTAAAAGAAATATTTTAAAGTTAAACTAAGAAATTGAAATTACATATTCTCTGTTTAGATTGTTTAATTCGGGGTCTTTTCTCTATGTCTTCTCTTCTTTTTTATACTTCTTTGATAATTTCTTCGTGACAAACCGTTTGGAAACTACCCACTTTCTTCATGATAACTGACTTATCGTAGAGCTGCCGCCTCTAACCGTCGCCATTACTCTTGTCGTTCAACCGTATGCAATTGGGATCCTTAAATCGTGGAGTGTGATAAGATTGCTCAATAACTGCTTTAATAACTACTGTTGTGGATAACCATAATATCTTATGTTTTCTAAGATCTTGGGTGATTCGAAGGTTTGGGAGAGAATGGGGTTATCGCTCTGGGCGATCATAGGGTACTCCATTCACTCAAATTCTGGGCATCTTGCAAGCTTGGGCGATAGTGTTACTTCGTTCGTAGACCTTTATTGTATTCATCAATGATCCTATTTGGGCATTTATCTTGGACTTCCCAATTGGGCTTCATCCCTTGGTTTATTCAATTTGGGCTACACTTTTTATGTGTCAACATATATATCTCTATCTTCATATTAATTTCAGAATAATAAAGAAAAAGGAAAAAACTTATGCCAGACCAGTAATTTTTAGATGTGTCAGGCTCAACCCAGCATAACTATTGGAGAGCACAGAGAAAGAATGAAGAAGAAAATGTGGAGAAGAAGTTCATTATTGTTTGTGTAATGCTGATTTTATAAAGCTTGATTTGGTTTTGTGTAATGCTGCATTGGAGTGCTGTTGTTGCAAGCTTGAATCGCTTAGTGACACTGAGAAGGTTATTGACTCGATGTCTGTTTCGGAGATTAAGCTTGATGAATTTATTTTTGGGTTACTTATTTATTTGTATGCCACAAAGGGCTTGAGGAGAAAATCACTGAGTTAAAAGGTATAATCGATTTTTCTAATAGAAATGTTTTTTCTTCAGAATCTGATTAGTGGGTATCTAAAGTCTGGTAATTTGGAATCTATTTCGGCTTCACTTCTGTGTGGTCCGCAAGAAAGAGAAGCACAATATTTGATTTTTAGCCAAGAAACATATAATGATGTAGTCACAGTATTTCTCCAAAATGGGAATATCAAGGTTTTAGCGAATTTGACTATTGAAGCATAGAAGTCACAATGTTCATCCATTTCAGTAGAAAGATCAATAGGATACTGTATTATCAGTCCATGTATTAGTCTCGGATTATTGGACAAAACGCATAACAACCTTGATGAAATGAATGCTTAAGGGGCTTCTGTTGGAATTGGGGTCTCTTTGTCCATCTTGAAAGCATATGGCAAAGAGCTAGGAACAGCCGAAGCTACTCAATTGGTTACAAAAATTACTAGTTTGGGGCTTCAGTTGGATGTTGGTAGCTATGAATCTCTCGTAGAAACATCCATGTTATGCCACGATTTCCAGTCAACATTTTCTTTATTTGGGAACATGAGAGAATCAAGAATACGTGACTTGAAAGGCAGCTATTTGACTATAATGACAAGTTTAATAGAAAACCATTTGCCTGAGCTCATGACAGTTTTCTTGGACAACGTTGTTGAGGACCCCCTAGCTGAAGATGTACCCATGATTGGAATTCAATTATTCACGCCTTCTGTAAGGCCGGGCAGTTGGAAGATGCAAGGAAGTCTTTCAGGATGATGATTTTTGTCAAGGCTTAATACACGGCTTGATAATAGGAGATTCATTTGTAAGGATTTATTCTTTCCATCTTTATTGTAATTAGCATTTCTTTGTAATTATTCTAATTGACTATATATAGAAGAAAAACTCACCACAATGGTGTGGTGGATTTTACTTAATCCTTACATGGTATCAGCAGACCTCTTGGATTAACCTCTATCGATTCCTTTGCTTCAATGGCTGTCGAAAACACCTCACCCACCCTTCTCTCCTTCAACACCATGATTCACATGGTAACCATCAAATTATCATCATCTAATTATCTCCTATGGAAGAGACAGCTTCTTTCTCTACTTGAAAGTCACGAACTCCTCAGCCATGTAGATGGCACTCTTCAGCCACCTCCATGTTTTGACCCTGCAGGTTCTCAGACGCCAAGCATCAAACACCTGGCGTGGAAGAACACTGATCAGCGCCTCTTGAGTTTCCTGCTCTCCTCTCTCACGAAGGAAGCCATGGCCGAGGTTGTAGGCCTCTCAACCTCACGCGAAGTCTGGCTAGCACTTGAAAACACCTTCAGTCACAGATCAAAAGCTAGAGATTCGTCTCAAGGACGACCTTCAACTGATGAAACGTAGAACTCGATTGGTAACAGCATTTGCTTGAGCGTTCAAGGCCCTTTGCGATCAACTACATGCCATTGGAATACCCCATCGACGATACTGATAAAGCTCACTGGTTCCTTCAAGGACTAGGTTCGAAATTCACCAATTTCTCCACAACCCATATGGCCCAAACACATCTGCCCTCCTTCATCGATTTGGTCCCCAAGGCTGAAAGCTTAGAGATTTTCCAGCGGTCTCTTGAATTCTCTGGTCCTCTAACCGCCGCCTTTACAACCACAAATTGAGGCCCCAATCCCCCAAATCCCAGGCACTCAAACCGCAATCACCAGGGATGAAATTTCTCTTCCAACAGTGGCAATGGACGTTTAAACTACGGACAGGGACGCCGTCCACCACGCTGCCAAATCTGCCGGCATGAAAGGCACTATGCTGACAAGTGCAACCAGAGGTATGCATGGGGAGGAGATGTTGTTGCCAACACAGCCCATCTTGCTAAGGCTTTTAATGCCTCCTGCTCTCTTAATGGGCCCAAGCTCAGTGATTGGTACCTGGACACAGGGGCTTCTGCCCACATGACACCAAATTTCTCCCACTTGGATCAAGCAAATAATTATACGGGTAATGATAAAGTAATTGTTGGGAATGGAGCTTCCCTACCCATTACTTACACCGGTACCATCTCTCCTACGCCAACACTTGATTTGTTGGATGTTTTAATCATTCCTCGTCTAACAAAAAATCTCATGTCCATTAGTAAATTAACATCTGATTTTCTCTTTCCGTTACATTTACTAATAATTTTTTTACTATCCAGAATTGTCAAACAGAAAGGGTGGTGGCAACCAGTAAAAGAGATGGCGGCTTATATGTGCTGGAGAGCGGCAATTCTGCTTTTATTTCTGCTCTTAAAAATAAAGCTTTACATGCCTCGTATGACTTATGGCATGCTCGTCTTGGACACATGAATCATTCTGTTATTTCCTTTTTAAATAAAAATGGTCATCTCTATCTTACCTCTTTATTACCTTCTCCTGCGTTATGTGACACATGTCAAATTGTAAAGAATCATCGCTTGCCTTATTCTTGTAAAGATCATCGATCACCTAATGTATTGGATCTTATTCATTATGATATTTGGGGTCCTTCCCCCGTCAAGTCAAATTCGGGATTCATTTACTATGTGATATTTATTGATGATTATTCCTGTTTCACTTGGCTTTATCCCTTGAAATTAAAATTCGAATTTTACGATATTTTTATTCACTTTAAAAAACTTGTGGAAAACCAACATTCTACCCGCATCAAAATTTTTCAAAGTGATGGTGGTGCCGAGTTTACAAGTAATCGCTTTAAAGCACATCTTAGCACCTCAGGTATTCACCATCAACTCTCTTGTATTGACCTATGGTTGATCATGACCTTAATGTTTTGATCATAACAAACAAGTCCATCTTGTTTACTAACAAATTGAATTGAGTGCTTAAGCTTTCAAAATAATAAAGATTATTATTCACACTCAAATGAAGTACAAGTGAAGGTTAAACGAGTATTCAAGACAAATCATTGGAGACAATAGTGATTTTCATACGACAATCAAATTGGAACTTAACATAATTGCAAATCAAGATACAAGTCAAAGAGAGGCTCGAAGAGATCAAGAACATTGAAGATAGAGTTATTTATCGAACCTCATTTTTATATGTAAAGGTATAACTCGTCAATGTTTAGCAAGTACATAAAGCTCAAATATTTCTCATAAATTCATCACTTGCATAAATTGTTTTGACATGAAAATGATTTTGAAAAATGAACATTTGTAATATATCAAAAACCTTGAAAAATCATTTTCAAACGTCCCTTAAAAGATCACACTTCAA